ATAATAATAATAACAATAACAGTAACAATAATAATAGATAGCATTTGCATAGTTCATATCCCCGCTCGACAGAAAGCTCTATGCGCTTTACACTATATTATTATTATTGCCCCAGCAGACCTTAGACCATAACAATAAATAGTATTTGTATAGCGCATGTTCCCACTCGACAGCAAGCCCTATGCCCTTTACACTATATTATTACCCCAGCAGACCATAGAACACCCAGAAACATTCTCAGCTTCCCCAGAAGCATGCAGTGCAAGCAGCTGGTAAAGCGCTCAAACACTAACAAACAGAAAAGATCTTTCACGGTCTATAGCTGGGTCTGGGTACCCATTCCCACCTGGGTGAAGGGAAAATTCGTGTAAAGTGCCTTTCCCAAGGACACAACGTCGGGCCCGCGGCTCGAACCCCCGAACCCGCAACCTCACGATAACGAGTCCTGTAGTCTAACCACTGGGCCATCGACGCCACAGAAACATTCTCATCTTCCCGGGAAGCATACAGTGCAAGCAGTGATTAAGCGCTCAAATACTTCCAAAGGGACAAGATATTGACAAACTGACTACTAAGCACCATGATTGACTAACCTTAAGTGAGTGGCACACGTACGTCGTGAGGTCGGTCGGTACTTCTGTTTTTGGAAGCCTCAGGTCCATGTGCATCACACCCGGCTCTCGGAGGACATTACAGTTGTTTTGACCTTGAACGGTCACCAAGGTCACCAGGTGAGCCAGTAACAGTAACACACCGGTTGTCGTTGTTGTTCTTGCCAGCGGCATCGTCAAATACATGTACTTATGTTCTCTGTACTGTGGTAACGTATCTGGAAATAGAATGCAGTACACGGTGTTGTTGTTTTCATACCGTTAGTAACTAGCACACTTGATATCCCCACTGTCATATTTAACAGCAGCAACAGCAACAACAGCAGCAGCAGCAGCAGCAGCAGCAGCAGCAGCAGCAACAGCAGCAGCAGGAACAACAACAGCAGCAAGAGTATTAACGTTTTAAACAAGCCACTCGTCCATCAGAAGCGGTATCTCCTGTGAGTTCGATTTCCGTCTTCTCTGGATAAAAACAATCCTGACTCTCAACGTGTGAGTTCCATAACTACAAAAACCCCGTAATCAAAAAAGATTTCTTGTACATTAAGGTAGATATAGAGAGAATTCGACTATTTTTATGGACTTCGAAATCCCCATCTGGGGAGAGTTTAGTTTATTTTTAATAAGGTTTTTTTGGCGCTCGCAACTGCATAAGGTCAAGCGGGTGGATGTCAACAGAAATCCTTACAGGGAATCAGGCTTACTCTGCTCACCTCTCTAGCCTCAACAGCACTAAAGTCTGCTTCGACTGTCAAGGCACCCCGGAAATAGCGGGTCACAAGAGTGTGACAAACATACAAAAGAAGTAGAGGAAAAATGATGAAAGTAAAGATGAGGAAAGAAAAAAGCAGCAGTTCCCTGTTGCAGTCCAGGCACAGTTATGAGCTTGACCTTGATGAATCAGCCCATTTACTATTTTACTGTGAAAAAGAACAGATTAATATCCCCCCTTTGGAAATGGCCTAAAGACACTTCAGTCAGTAGTACCACCCTGGGGGTGTGCAAGAGTTTGGCTCGCAAGGTATAAAACAAATGAATCAAGAAACAAAAAGGGATGACAACTATTTAATCATTGGGTTTAGCGCTGCTTTCAGGACTGTAAGTTGAAGTGCACAAACTTAACGCTCACAACCGATAGGAGAGTGCCAGTTAAGTATACAGACCAGAGCCCACAGAAAAAGAGTAGCCTACAGTATCTAAAACAATAATTCGTCATTGTTTTATATTGTACGCTTGTGCATATATTATGTTTTATATATATATA